TCTCTCTCTCTCTCTCTCCCGTGCGCTCTTTTTGTCTTTTCTATCTCCCTTGATGCGTGCGCCCCTTTCCTCTCACTCTTTGTCCCTCCTTGTGTGTGTGCCTTGCCGCTCTTTCTCTCTCTCTCTCTCTATCTATCTATCTCTATCTCTCTCCCTCTCTCTCTCTCTCTCTCATTCTCTCTCTCTCTCTGCGGCCCTTTCCTCTCACTCTTTGTCCCTCCTTGTGTGTGTGCCTTGCCTCTCTCTCTCTCTCTCTCTCTCTCTCTCTCTCTCTCTCTCTCTCTCTCTCTCTTTGTCTCTCCTTTGCCTCTCTCTTTCTTCCTCCGTGTGTGTGTGTGTGTTTTCCTCTTGCTTCGTCGGGCGTTTTGTTGGTTGTTGCGGACGCTTTTTCATTGAGCCGAAGGGCACGTGGGGTGCGATTAACTGATGTGATTACCCTAGTGGTATAAGTTTGAGGGGTGGTGGTAGATAGGGATAATTTTTATCTCTGCTCACCGTCGCCTTCCTGGCGGCCTTGCATGTGGGTATCGACAGATATTAGAATAGCGGGGTGTAAGTTGAGACCGACTAAATATCAACGAATGCGTCCAGGGGGGGGAGAAGGGGAAGAAAATGTTTGGAAAGAGGGATTAGGATGTGTACACGCAAGGCATAGACCAAATTTGAAAGTTGTGATGTGAATGCTATTTTGTGACTAAATTAGGATGTGCTGTGAAAAGGGGAAAAATACGAAAATGTGAAGTCTCAAAATATTTATGGTTTGGGAGTTCGAGGGACTTATGTAATGTAGTGTGGTTATGGGAGTTTGAGGGGCATTTGTGGAGGGAAAATTGGCATATTGTTGTGTTAAGAATGATGACATGTAGTGTGGTTATGGCAATGGTAACGAAGTGACAAACACGGGGTAATGAGGGGCTTATGGCAATGGTAACTAAGTGACAAACACGGGGTAATGAGGGGCTTATGTAATTAGAATTCAATCTTGCAAGTTGTTGAAAAAACGAAATACTTATTGAAAAGTAATAACTGGGGAGAGTAGTGAATATTCAAAGTAATAATTTAATGATGAGTTGTACGTATGTATGTGAATTTGTATTTGCACAATAAAGTATTTAAAATGAAAAGTGTGGCAAGTTTGACATTTAAATGCATTTTAGGGAATGATTCCACTGTGAATTTTGGAAGTGAATATTCACAAGAGGCGGAATGTTATTGCCATACTTGTGGCTTATTTGCACAGGCAAGTGATGTGGGTGCCCTTCGTCTCTCCAACTCAGGCCGTGGCATCGGACTTTCGTTTTATGCGGAGGTAATGGAAAGCGATTTCCAATGTAAACCATATGCATTCTGAAGTCAGGAGCAGTTCTGGTTTATCTCATGAATCTTGTATTATTGCTAAGAATATGAACAACATTTGTTTTTAAAGGTGCACTAACACGAATCCTTGTAGTATTTGTGATGGATGTGTGTGCAGGTCGTCATTGTGTGTCGTCGGGGTGGATATATTTTTACATCGTGGTGTTTTCAGCTGAGAGAGATGTGTGTCCCAGAGAGAATATTGAGAGAGATGAGATGAGAGAGAGAGAGA